AGAGCCAGCCACACAAATGTGGGGGCGAACGCATCGGAATGGCTTGTATATGAACCCTGTCAGGCGAGGTTTCCAACAGCGTGGCGATAGCATCGAAAAGTGGCGGCAGGTCACGACTTCTGGGATCATGCACGACCGCTGTCAGCATCCAACGATTCTGATGTTGAGTACCCGAGATGGAAATCCAGTGGTAGTTGAGCGTCACGAAGAAAAGCACCTTGGTATAACCAGCCACACTGGGGAGGTCGTTGACGAAGGGTTCTAACTGGCCGGTGACAGGATCGAAATGAAGTGGGCCAGGCAGAAATCTATCAAGAATTTGCATTCTTGTCATCTGGAGCACTAGTTCAACTTCAAAATTGGTGAGCCAGGCAGGCTGGATGAGCATATTGCGTAACCAGTTGATCGCCCGTTCTCGGTGTGTGGGTGGTCTTGGCACCTGGTTAACTTCTTGGACATACTCTTCCTGAGGGCCCACGAACATGACCGTCGAAACTGCATTTGGCAACCGTGTGTCGGGTTGGTCGCGAGCATATGCAGACATGAAGGCACGACGACATTCGACGGCGAAATTACGAAGACAACTTGGTGCATTAGTACGGTTCCAGTGGCGTTGTGCTCGGTGTAAGACACTGTCAATTTGAGCTTGAGCCTGATCAGTAGCATGGATTAGTGGTTGAAGACAGGTCCGCATGGCGAAATTGGTATACCATCGGAACAAAATTGTCCATCCACGCATGGTGACCACTTCATGAGTGGTATCTATTGTGACCAACATCCTATTGGTTGGAATCTGCAGGATTCGAGAAACCTCCAGGGTGACCATAGTATGATGTTCCTGGGGCCACTGAATAAGAACCACGTGAACGGGTTCCGTTCGGCGATCAATCTCGACTGCGCACCAGCGTGCTTCCACAAGGAAAAGGAGAATGTTTAGGTAACCATTATTGCATTGGAGCTGATCTTCCGCAGCCATCAGATGCTGAAGATCTCGGCTTGGGCTCCACTGGATGAGTGGTCCAATAGCGATGTCGGACCTCCAGGTCTTGAGCAGACGAAGAAACCACAGTGCTTCATCAGAGGCCAACCATCCGTTGTCTTGTGTGGCCGCGGCGCATCGTTCTGCAAATGATGGATTTGGCGCCATGTGAATGATTTCACATCGTCCCCACGCGGGGTGACCCCCAACGTAGATGGCCTTACCCCATCCTCGAAATGAAGCGGCATGTGGAAAGTCGTTCACGGGTACAGCCCCACTAGATGAAGTTGCATGTAGTGGACCCTGTGTTGGAGCTCGGAGGAAACCTTGTGTCATTGTGGTCGGATCGGGTACAGCCCCTGAATTTGTAGTTTCGTATAGTTGTCGCTGTGTCACCTTTCTGATATCGAACAGCAAGGATCTGCCATTGAATTGTCGTAGATCTGACTCATCGATCACGGTATCACGCTTGTGGATAACTGTCGGAACGTCCACCAATGACTGCAAAGTGAAAAAGTTTGAAACACTGGTGGAGTCCTGGAAGAGAAGTCCTTGGGGTGGCACAGGAAGTACGACACCATTGTTCTGATGTCTAGGTACATACGGTGATGCATAAACACCCCTTGAGGGTGTACGATCATGAGCTTGATGGCCACCATCATATGTAAGAGTACGAATCTGACTGTCAGTAAGGTCTGCAAAACCAGGACGTGGCAATCTAGTACTGCATATTGCCTCAAGAGTTCCAATGGAGCTCCGTTGATGATGTAGTGGTTGTACAGTCCCTGGACACTGCAGCATCGCTTGAACTAACTTGGAGTCGTTTGAAGACTGAAGCCACAGCTGTAGACGATCAAGGTCTCGAATAGAAAAGTGGTTTCTGTCTGAAATTCTGCGGTTGTCACTGGGTACAGCCCCACTTGATATGGTAGACTGTTGTGGTCGATGACATTCTTCACGGAACAACTGGCTGGAAAAACAATAGTCATTGGCATCGAACGGTGCGTCCAGCTGGAGATATGACTCCATTGTGAAATGAGCTTGGAGCGAGTTATGGGGCTCCGATGGAGCAGAACGTAGTGACATTAACACTCGGATAAGATCATGAACTGTAGGCGAAGCAAAATTATTTGAAAGAATCACATCATCTGTAAAAACTGTCTCCTCGCAGGGGAGTCGAACATCTTCATTGTGGTAGATAATGGGTACAGCCCCACTGCATTTTGTGGTACGTTGTGGAGGTGGAAAAATCTGCTTCGAAGTCGATATGACTGCCTGTGGATTTAAAAACGATGGTATAAAATCGCTTGTGAGGAAAAAATCCATAGTGCCGCGGTTGTTACTGGGTACAGCCCCACTTGATATGGTAAGATGCGGTAGAGCTTGTACATGACTCGTGGCACCATCTGCACTTGCAACGGATTCATTCCAATCTGATTGACATCTGATATACAGTTCCAAATGGTCAGGTAGGATCGATGCGGAACTGTGAGGCCACACATGGGCAGAAGAGGTGGAGATAGTACCTCCATGTAAATCGTTTTGAGTGGCATCCACAAGGATGGATCTGTTCTGGCAAATTTGATTGTAACTCTCCTTGAAGTATGATGAACTACCCATGAACTTTGCTCCGTTGCAAACAAACCGTGCGCTCGTTCTGGCCCAATCAAAAAACAACCGAGTAGACTGCTCCACGTTTATGAAATTGCTGACAGGACTTTTGTGGACCAGCATCTCCTCCTCGGCGAAAATGACAGGAAGTTCACTGCCAACCGGCGCGGTAGATCTGTAGTATGCAAGGCTTTCATAGTGGGAGTCACAACTGAGTAGGTCTGAATCGCTTCGAAGAACTTTCAGTAAGTCAGCTTGTTGATGTGTAGGACAGTGACAGGAATTGTCAGTCACTTCGGGCGAAGTTTGTATCGCACCCAAAACATCACTATTCTGATGTCGAAGAGCATGAAGTTGCTGATGCCCACCCCTTAGGGGTTCTGTTGGTGACTCAGATGCTGGATCCGGTGTCAATTGTCCTGACAAAAAGGACTGAAAGTCTGTAAGGCCATGAGGGAAGAACACGAAAGGTCTTGGAGCGCGATATCCAAAAGATTGCCGAGACCAAACACTGCAATCGTGTGGTGCTGGAGTCACACTGTCGAAGTACTCTGCGTCCTGGTTGTCTGAGGTTGTAAGATCGGGTACAGCCCCACTATTGATGGTTTGATGTAGTGAACCAGGAGCGAGTCGATCTTGATCATTCTTATGACAAAAACCTGTATGCCAAATCACAGGTGCAGATCTTGATTGCCCCAAATCTGCCGGGGTTGGTCTGATGTACTCTGGTGTGTGGACCTCTAGGGTATTCAATACTTCGAGGTTGGTGATAGTGTGTTGCGATACAATCTCATGTTGATCAACACAAGTTGAATGCAATTGCTGGAACAGTGGCAAGCAAGGAGGAATGATGACATCTCGTACAGTTGTCAAACGAACTGTACAACTTGCTTGAAATGCTGTCCAGCAATGGGAAACTGAAGTAGGGATAGACATAGTAGGAATGTCGACACGGGTGGCCTGATGAATTAAGTCTTGACGATCGGCATGCTTTTGTGGGCCAAAATGGCCCTCTCGAATTAGAGAGACTCTTGTGTTCGATGGCGGCATATCTGGTGGCGGATAAAATGGAGTCTCAAACAAAATTGCAGTAGCAGGATCAGTCGTTTGGGTATGCTCATGTTGTCTCCCTCGCTTTTCCCCAAACTGTCGAAAAAAGGACTCAAACCTTGCACAGTAAGACGGGTGCAGACCTAACACATCTTTCCAACAGGGCCTCGTGTTTATGGGATGTGGGGTGAAACACGACTTCAATCCGTCTGAACACGACCCCGTTGGCATGGAAGTGAAAATGGCCTTGAACCATGTTGAGACACGATGTAAAAGGGTGTGTTGACACCCTGGTTTCATTGAGTGACCCGACGGCGAGTGAAAAGGATCTGCCTTTTCAGTACGCATCTCTGAGGATATGAAATGCGCACTCCATGGTTCAAAATACTGGTCTTCGTGAACATCCATGAGAGTACTGCCGTTCATGTCATGATGCACATATGCATAGGCCCATGGCTCCATCATCAGAAATGGGTCTTCCTGTGTGAAAACCAGTGCTCCTCCTACGTCATGATGAGACAGGAGTGTCACATCAGGGTCAAACTGGCGTGTTGGAGGTAAAGTCGGGAAATGCACTGAGATCTGGCCGTTTTGCATAGATGAGATGGCTTCGCCTGAGGCTGTTGAAAATGTGCCAGCGTCGCCGAACTGGTCCTGGTGCTCGTAGGTCGTCTGTGTACCAGCCGATTGTATATTGACAAAGCGCCAGCACCAGGGTTCCCACAAAGCAGTGTCTTCTTGGATGAAGCCGAATCCTGTTACCGACTCGGAGCGGGCAGAATCTTGTGCCCATGGCTCGAAAGTCTCTGGAATTGGTCGATAAGATGGATCCGTACATCCAGGAGGAACGTTTGGCTGGCCGTGCATCAAAAACGGATCCGGCAACTTCTGGTTGTCAGCTGACCTGACAACACCCATCTGAATACATCCTCCGATTTTCCAGGTATACAGCGGTGAAGGTTCAGAAGTATGCATGCAGGCAAGTACTGAATTAGACACTTTCAAAACGTACTTGATGCCATCTGTCTGCTCGCATTCAACCACTGCAAAATCGTGATGGCGGTGTAGGACCTGCTTCGGTAGGATATCTTCTTTGGACTCAGGTCGCCAGCGAGTGTCAGCATGGAACAGGTGGCGAACGATGCCACTGCGTGCCCCTCGATGGGCTTCCATGGCCCAATCCGTACCCCCACTCGCAGGTGGAGGTAACAGGCGCGCCGCGTGAAGGCTTGGGCCAAGACGCCTCTGGCCTTACTACTCGGAGCAAGGACGCTACTAGAGGCTCCTGGCATCGCTACTAGGAACAAGAAACAATCTAATCAAACATCACTTGCCCTGGTGTGGCAATGGGTTTGCTGAGGCCAAAGTCCCCGAACTGACTTACTTTGCCCTGAAGCTCATGTTCCACCTGCAGGTTGTGGTCAACCGGTTTGTCCCATGTATTGTAGGCACCTTGAGAGACACAGAGAGAGAGAGAGAGAGATTCAGTAATTTGATGCATCATTTGTGCGAAGGCATGGGACATCCTGCGCCAACTAAACCACAAAGCACCACAAACACATGAAAACACCAAGCACATGCTACGTAAAGCCTACAGAGGGTTGTCACTGTTTCGGGAGTGTGACTCAAGGCTCTTCAGTTCTGATGAGTTCCGGCGTCCACTTGGGAGGTCCAGTCCCGGACAAGTCAGTTCCGGCTGGTGTAATTGTGCCCGTGGGCCCAGTCAGCCCAGTCGTTCGCGGAAGGGTCGAACCATTGGAAGACATCAGAGAGGCGGAAACTTCTGTTCTTGCACATGGGGTACCTGTGAACTGTAGGGATGGGTCTGTGGCCAGTTGTGACCCACCCTTACCTTGCAGGTTTGATTTCGACCAAACGCTGTGTGTTCGGCGGCTTGGACGCGAAATGTGGCAGCTGCAACTGCAATTGGAATGTTTTTCTACCTGCAGTGGCTCCATGCTTCCTTTCCCAACCTGACAGCAGGCATGTTGGCGTCTTCGAGGACGGACTTGATTGGCTTGCGACATTGTCCGACATTGAGTGTTAAGCCTGTTAAGCTATTAGAAACAAGTGCCTTACTACTAGGAACAAGAAGCTACTAGGGGCTCCTGGCCTTACTAGTAGTAACAAGAAACTATTAGAAACAAGTTTGACTTTTACGCTATGCGTTTCGGTTGCTGCAGAAGACCCGACCGCAGTCGCTGGCCCCATTCTTTGAATCTTTCAGACAAGTTAAGGTTGCTGCAGTCAAAGTCAAAGAGATTATGAGCCGACAATTGGCAGCCAACTCCCTCCCACAAGAAGAACCGACCAACCAACAGAAAAGCCAAGAAGCCTTGGACTCTCACCCATCCAACAAATCTGTGGCATGTGAGTTTTGGCGTACTAGTAGCATGGATGCCGTCACTTGGTTTGCTCAAGACAGGCTCACAACTGTTTGATGTATATCTTGTGTGCATGGAGTCCACCTGACTGCGGTTGGCCCTTGCAGCCAAGGACATGCAGTTTAATGACAAAAACTCACAAGGCGGCTTGAATGGATCAAGTGGTGCATTCAAAGCTTGCATGCTTGCTTCCAGGGAAGGGCTTTTCGGATGTCATAGCCCGGGAGATCGACAAGTTGAAGGAGACCCTCCTCTCTTCCTTTGCGGAGACCTTTCCAGAGAGGCCCGGGCTCCCACCTCTACTTGTAGCATCTTGTAGCTCTTCATCAGAACTGCAGCATGTTTCCAGTTTCCAGGACAGCTGGACAGAGCCAACACACTACTAAAGGCCTCGGAGTATTGCGGAACGTCCTCACAGCATTTGTTCAGAGACATGTAGAGTGTGGTTGGACTTCATAAAGCTCGGAGAAGTACATGTCCTGTCGAGGTGAGCGTCGTCCGTTTTTTTGCATTGCAGAGAACTGCACAGCGCAAGGTGAGACCACTGCTGCTCATGAGACAGGCCAGCTTGGGGGATGATTGGACATAATGTTGCATTTTATTCCCTACGTGTCCATGCTTTGAGGCTTTTGCTGCGCTCGTGTCCAATCAAGAGGCCCCCTGGAACTTTGGTGAGTGAGAGCTAGCGATTGCTGCACTTGTATGCATGTTAACCATGCAGATGTATCACACTGAATTTTGTTTGAGTTTGATGCCTTGGAAGATCTTCGAAGCGGTAGCGCGTAGCAACAGAAATTGAGTTAGTGAGTTCTGAACCTTAGTGAAGATAGGGCCGTATGGTGTGGCCGGGTCACTGGAATCCAGAATTTAAACAAGCTAGGTCTCAATAAGCCTTTGATTGACACTTTGTGGCTTCCAAGGTGCTTCCATCTCCGTGACTCCCGCAGCACATAGTTCTTGGAGCAAGCCTATGGAGCCCGAAGTGACAGCAGCTTGGCTTGATGCTGGCTAGTGCTTTTCAGCCGGGACTGATCTGGCATTGCCTTCCAGACATTGCCGCTGCTGCAAGAATGAGCAATACCAAGCCAAGGAGTTGTCAGAGGCAGAAGACCATTCCCTCAAAGATCTGGAAGTATTGCAAGAGCGTGGCTTTGAGGAGACAGAGTGATTCTCAAACTCTTGCTGCCTTCACTGGTAGAGCTGACCATCAAGGTTTGCGTTTGTAGGAGCAACTGTTTCAATCTCCAAAATGTTCCCCAGAATTTATTTAACGAATGACGAAAACTCGTGAATGAGACACTGTCAGGAACACAAAGCACTGTCCTGTTGGGCACGGTTTGCCGCAGCTGCCACCAGTGGAGTCACCTGGCCTTTATGGACCACTGGACCATGGACGAGTAACATGCGAATCGGTGATCCAGCTGTTTGGGCGGAGAAGGGATTTCTCAGGCTTCTCAATTTGCTGATTTTGTTCTCAGCCAGCATTTGATTTGATGCTTATCCTTGCTTTGTGCCTTAGCATTGCTTGTTTGCGACCGGCAGGAGCTGGAAGATAAGCGACAGCAGAGGACCCAGCAACTCTGTCATATGAGTCATGTGGCTCTCGGTCATTACTCCTTGGGACCTTGGTGAGTCTGAATCGTATAGTATAGGTATGTATAGGTATAATATCGCATATATATATATAAGTTGGTTTGACGTGGAGAGACGTCAAGTGCCAAGGTCCAGCATGCCGTCGGAATATTTCAAAATCCGGCCCAACTGGAGAGCAGGCCGGGAACTTCCGGTGACTTCATGAGATTCGCACTTGGAACGTTCTTGCTCCCAGTAGTAAGGCCAGGAGCCCCTAGTAGCGTTCTTGTTCCTACATGTGCCGTTGTATGCCGTTGTCATCAGGGAATTTATGTTGAGGAGGCTTCCCCAAGACCTGACCGTTGTATAATTACAAGTCCATTCCGACGGATGTCTCCCACAAAATCCTATAAATGGGTCTTGGCACACAGTGCACTTGTGGAAGGCGAGTACAAAACCGGCACTTCTCGAGTCACGTGACTTTGCTGAACATCCGTTGTCATACATTCCTGATTCGGTCCCAGCTTTGGAACAGTGTTCTTGGCGGTCATACCTAAGTCCAGGGCCAGAGAAAGCATGCTGGTGATGGATTCTGCCAAGGGGCAGCATCCAGATGCATTCATCAGTCTCATGCGACCGGCTCGATGGACCAAGGATAGCAGGTCATCGTCCACCGCCGAATCAGCACCAGATGCGCGTGAAAAGCATCATCATGGACGAAAGCAGCCGATTCCAAAGGTGGCTCAAACGGGTTGAGCCAGTCCTTGCGGATCCTTGCAGTGTATACTATATATATTACTATATTACTGTATGGCTTGGGGCACAGGGGTTCAATTTTTAAACATGCAGTGGTTCCGTGTTTGATTTTGCTTTTCACCAGTGGCTCGTGGGGAACCTCACTCATTTCCCGCCCTCTAATCGCGCAGGTTCGTGTCCCATCCTGACCACCTGACGCGGATGTTTTGGCTCTCTGCAGGCCGCCTGGCCTTCTTGAACCCAAACTCAGAGTTCTGAAGACTCAGAAATCGAGGCATGATGCTGATCTTCTGGGATTTGATCACCATCCCCCTGGTACTGGCCAACGCTGCCGAAAGTACGCAGGAGTTCTTGGTGACGGTGAGTCATTTCACGGTCTTTTTCTGGATCGTTGATTTGGTCTACAACTTCTTTACTGGCTATGACACTGGCGCAGGGATTGAGATGTACCTTAGCCTTGTCAGAGTGGCAGGAATTACAATTGCAGTAAAGTGCAGTTGAACAAGAGGGAATGATAAGAGACCTGCAGCTTTCAGCACGTGGTGTAAGGCGTCCCGGCCGGATTGCGCGCAATTACGTGAGCACGTGGCTAATTCCCGACACAGCGCTGGCTACTTGGCTTCGGGTAGTTGGCCCCCCCCCACCAACATGTGGAGAAACTATAAGCAACCTAAGACCTTTTTGGCCTTTTCTTATTTTAGATCAGTGTTTGTCTGCAGTTCAACTTCCTTTGCAATATTCGCACTCCATTTGATGGCACAGGATGCCACTTGAACGAGGTCCTTCTTGAGGTGGTGATCAAGTTGCTTGAGCTCGTTGCAGCCACAGACTCTGAGGACCTGCAGTTCCAGCCACAGCCAAGCCATGTCAAGCACAAATCTTGGGACGTAGCCCATGTGTTACGGAGCGGGTTCTCCTTTCTGGTTGAAGCAAGTCTCAGAGGCGAGGGCGCTTGTTGGCAGGACTTGAGCTCTGTGAGGGTTCTACGGGCGGTTCGAATCCTTCGTTTCCTGCGACTCCTCCGCTTGCAGAGGATTACTCGCATTGTTGCCCCTGAGCTAAACTCAACACCTCCAGACGCCTTGACCATGTAGTTCGTATTAGTTCATCCATCTCGCACCGATGTTCCCACGGTCGTGAGTCGTGTCCATCCGGTCGACGCTTGGGGTGTTGGCGGAATTGGCCTTACCTCGTCCACCAAGGAGGTCATTGCAAAGCACTTCACCTCCGTGACCTTTTGGCTCACCCTGAGGATTGCATCTTATTTGTTTTTCATTCTGGTTGCCCCTTGGTGCAAGCCGACCGGTCAGCTCCAAAGAACTGAAGACGGACAAGAAGTCACTACCCATTGATTCTGACTGATCCGATGATGTGCGCTACTAGGAACAATAATATAATAGAATCATAGAATATATATATATAGTAGCAACTGGCCTTAGTACTAGTAACAAGAACCTACTAGAAACAAAGGGCATCGCTACTAGGAACAAGGACGCTACTAGTAGCTGGTCTCATGGCCTGACTAATTCTTAAACACGTGGTCGGACATCCAGGTGAATCACTACCTGGCCATTTTCTTCATGGCCATTGGAACAGATGCCTTAAAAGGAGGAGCACCCAATTGGCTGGAGCGATATGGCATTGCTGCCTGGGGCTCAGTCGCCATGTTTCGAAAGCAGCACTGCGGCCTCTTGTGCGGCTCAGGACTACACTTTTTGGGATGTCTATGCAGCTAAGTTGCAGCCCTGCAGAACCCGTTGAACCATGTTGAACCACTAAACGTGATCTGAAACGATGGGTTACTTTCCACAACTTGCTCGTTCTTTCGGACCAGAAACTGTGAGCCTTTTTTGCCTCAACTCTTCCGGCAGACAGGTCTAAAACTCGTTGATCCTTGAAAAGGGTCCAGAGTTCGGGTTCGCATGCCATATGCAATACTGAAAACGGATCTACTGTAAAAGCATTCTCGCCAGTCGACAGGAATTCCAATCACCGCACCCGAAGGTGGCGGTTCCAGAAAGGGCCATCCAGATTTTGATGTGTCTTTTGACGAAATCATATCAATTGAGGCCAAGTTGGTGACCAGGCAATCGGATCTTTTGAATCAGTCGTCCTCTACCAATTGAGGCTTAGTAGGTGGACATTCTTGAACCATTCTCATGTGTTGCACAATCCCAAGACATTGTAGCGACTGTTGTGGAGGGCAGGGTTTACCAGGAAACTCGGGCCAGGATCCTTGGGCCAATACCCTGCTCCTTTTTTCGCCTGCCGATTGGCTCAGTAGGTGGTGGGTGGAAAATGGTAATGCAACGCCAGACCTGAAAGACGCTGGCAGCATACGGCAGCATTCTCAGGCCGTTTCACTTCACTGGAGCTTGACACAGTTTACACCTGCCACCAACAATATTGCGCCTGTCAGTGTGCCAGAGAGGCTGTGACTCGGAAGAACATGCCGCATCACATGCGCCAGACTTTGCAAGGACATTCCGGATGACAGAACGAGGGGTCAAGGGGGCGTTCCTTTTGAGTGGGAGGTTGGTGAGAGATTGTGAGAATCATGTTGGCCTTAAGGTTTTCCATCGCTGTTGTGCTAGTTGCCCTGGCGCTCTTCTCCTCGTTCTTGAGCTCTATCACCAATGCAGTGAATGCATTGCGGACGGTGCGTATGAGTGCCGCTTCCCAAGAGGCGTGGACTCGTGGACCAAACAAAAGTGTATGCCAGTGGTAGTCAGAGCAATACTACTACTTGTTGAGATAGGACTTTCTCCGGTTCGGGAAGCCACCTACCTCCTTGGTCACTCCAAGTTTAATTGCTTTGCACCGCAGGCACAAATCAGGCAGTTCTTCAATGAGCGCAACCTCCCAGCACCCCTTCTTGCGCAGGTGAAGGTGCCCCCCCGCTTTGCTTTGGCGTTGCTTAAGATTTGTGGAGCTCAAGCAGTTGGGTCCACTCTCAACTCTGGCAGGGCTTCATTCAACTCCGCAGTGCGGCCATCCAGCGGATGCGCGAGAAGGATGTGAAGGTCCTGCTGGAGTTGCCTGAAGTCTTAAAGCGGAGGCGAACGGGGTCGCGACCGTCACGAGTGGGACGAGGGACGCGTAGGACGATGGAAGAAAAGATCGGTTGGATTTGGAAGATGGCAGGTTTCACCGAAGCCTTTTTCTGGGAGTTGAAATCGGTGTTGAAACAACACCTGGAGGCTTCACACAGCGATGTACTACCAGCATTTGATGGAGATACAGTGGTGGCCAGTGGCCTGTCTGCACTCTTTTTCACTTGAAAATGTGGAGGGCTTACTGCTTTGGCGACTCATGGGTTGTCACAGAGGAGAGTGGCGGAGAATCACCCCAGGACTTCCATGCCGTATGGTACAGTAATTAGAGCTGTGACGTTTAGGAATTGCATGGAATTGCTATATATTGCGTTCTGTTGTGAAAAATTAATGAACCGCGACCTTAGTTAGCACTTCCAGAAATAACTGTTGCTTGAACGCAAATTCAGTAGAAACAAGTGCCACGCTACTAGGAACAAGTGCCACGCTAGTAGTAACAAGTGCCTTACTAGTAGTAACAAGAAGCTATTAGTAACAAGTGCATCGCTTCTAGGAACAAGTGCCTTACTAGTAGTAACAAGTGCATCGCTTCTAGGAACAAGTGCCTTACTAGTAGTAACAAGAAGCTATTGGTAACAAGTGCATCGCTAGTAGTAACAAGTGCCTTACTAGTAGTAACAAGAAGCTATTAGTAACAAGTGCATCGCTAGTAGTAACAAGTGCCTTACTAGTAGTAACAAGAAGCTATTGGTAACAAGTGCCTTACTAGTAGTAACAAGAAGCTATTAGTAACAAGTGCATCGCTAGTAGTAACAAGTGCCTTACTAGTAGTAACAAGAAGCTATTAGTAACAAGTGCATCGCTAGTAGTAACAAGTGCCTTACTAGTAGTAACAAGAAGCTATTAGTAACAATTGCATCGC